CATGGATTAAAGAAACATATCAGTGTGGTGGATGTCGAGGAAACGTGTACAATTTTATTTGGACGTAGAATATAAAAAAAATTGAATTCTTAACTTGAATTGTCAGAATTTGTTTTATTAAATAAGAAAAAAATGCTTGCTTGTGCCTGAGGGGTAAAGGTTTTAGCGGTTGAAAATCCACCCAGCATAGTTTCATTTTATTTGAAACATCTTAAACCACAAGAAGAAGAAGAAGAAAAAACTCTTCTGCCGGTGGCATTTGATTAATTATTGCAAGGCAATTACATCAAAGTTTGTGATAGTAAGACACTGGAATTCATAACAACAATTAGAGGAAATGGCCGAATGTACTCTACTGCAGCCTTAGTCGGACCTCCAATCCACAAGTCGTTGGTTTGATCCCCTTGCTGCGACAGATTAAACATTGGGCAAGTTTCATAAATCTACCCCCCTCCCTCCCGTCAACCCCTGTCCACCACAGTCAATCGGCAAGTCGTCTGTGGTGGGTTAAAGTGCGGGTCCTCTCGCCTCTCCAAAGTAGACTGACCAGCGTGGAAAGAAGGCCAAAACACCTTGCAGAGGGGATCTCTAGAGCTCTCTCAGTTGGAGGTCCCTTCCACCAACAGTGGTGTGAGCAAGCAATTGCAGGGCTGCTCCTTTGCCTTTAACTTTCAAATGATGCACAAGCCAGGACAGAGACTTGAAGGGGGAGGTTGGCCTCCCTGAACATCTGCATACACGAATGACCCCATCAGTGGCAGAGGAAGGACAAAAAGAGTTTCACCGTCACGGTTCAATGTGTTTTCTGTGATTTCTTAAGTCACAGCTTCACAAACTATTACAAGCCCTTTCCCTGTGAGCAGACCGGTCTGTAGCCGAGTTGCAGTCTGTGGCGCAATGCCTTTCAACAACGGCGCACAATTAAACACACGGGGGCTGCGTTTTAATCAAGAAAGTATGCGGCTTAATGGGTGCAACTCCGAGAAAAGCGATTTAATTCAGAATAAAGGCTCTCATTGTGAGGGATTAGCTTGCAGTTTAATGGAGCCCCACTTGTATAGAGTTCTTCAAATACATTTTGATAAACATCGCGAGAAAATGTAATAATGTAATGTACGCACGAACACATTAGCCAACAAATAAATGCATTTATTCATTAAGCACTGTATGACATTTTAAAATAAGAAGACGGCGCTGTAGAACATAAAAAATATATATAATTGGACGGAAAATGTTGCTGTCATGACAAAATAAATCCTGGTAATGAATGCGTGGCCTCTTGCAATGACCCTAGAGGCTTGAGGGAGCGTGCCGCATGGGCCGCAGTGGAAACACCCCTCGAGTCGGAGTACGAATTCAACCGCCAAGCAACCAACCACGCAACCTCCAACCGTGTCGTGAAAGCCGTCACTGCAATTTCGAGCTCATTCGGACGCAATTCGTGTTCACCTAGTTGTCCCCGTGGCGTAATCAAAAGGCTATTTAGTTTACTTGTGGACACGATCGGTGACGCTGACATTCGGGCGTAAGCGCGTAGACAATAAACCAAATTTTATACCTTCATTTTTATTCTCACAACATTCGCTTGAATCAGCTACCTCTCACACCAAAGCTGTGTTTAAGTTAGACAGGAGATATTGTCTGTTTGTCGGCAAATATTTATACTGGGCCTGCTCTGTTAAACCACATAAATACACGTGTTTACAAGGGGTTTCTGCTTTGTTTCAGGGAGCACTGCTTATTGTTTGAGTTGGCTTTCTTTGGCCGAGACTCAGCCCCACAGTTGGCATTTATGTAAAAAAAAATGTGCTTGACCTGCAATGCCTAAAAACAAGCAGACGGGATACTCGTTTCAACTGCTCCTTTCATATAGAATGGCAAGCATGCTTTCTGACGTTGCGTGTGCCACAACAGCACAGCGCCGAAATGTGGGCTCGAACTGCTGAACCTGCGGCCTTGAAATGAACACATCACCCATCACTCTAGATGTGCTGGGAAGACTCTGAGATCCCATAAGCTGTGCTTGCAGCCATGCCAGGAAGACACCGCGGTCCAGTGCCATGAGATGAGAATGCAAAGGGCAGCTGAGCCTGCTGGCACAAAAACAAGTATTTTCACTGCGCGTCAACTATAAATGTATTTACTGCTGTAAATACATTTACAGTGTTTACTGCTGTATGGTGTGAGATCGGGAACTTGTGCCACCCATTCTTTCCCCTAACGTTTTGGCCTTGCTGCTTGCATAAAATAGAACCCGCCTTCGAACCGCGGTGCTGGGGTATGAAGCTGCTTTGATCGTGGTGGAAATATTTTCGATGCCAATGAAAACTAAAAATCGGCGAATTTTATCCAGATTGTGCTATCGGTGTCACATCAAGAGGCGAAGCAGCCATTCGCACACCCCTCGCACAGTGGCGCAACCCCTTGGTTGTTTCGAAAACGGCCCGTGGAAGCAGACATCAGAGAGCTGCCTCTGAAACCCCCTTCAAGTGACTTCTGATCCACAAAGTCGAGGGCAGCAATCTGTGCCGGGTTTTTGATGCCGAGTCATCAACTGTGGTGCGCGGTGAAAGTGAGCGAGCTGCATTGGCTGTGCTTGCTAGTTCAGTCCTCGCATCGTTGGCCACGATGACTCTTTGATACCAGCTGTCGCATTAAGCAGGACCTTCAACAAAATAGCTTAATTTTTCGCTTACGAGTCACTTCTCAGATGTGCTGATAATGCTTAGCTGGTGGTATTGCAGTTGTCTTGGATGGGTGACTTCAGGTCTGTTCAGCCTCCCGTTTTTATTGCATACAAACTGCAATGGATCCCAGGACAATCGTAACGAATGCCTTAATCATTTGCCGTCATTGCCAAGTGCGGGCGCAGTTTGCGTGCAATCGCTGTGCTCCCGCTTTCGCACAGAGAACCTAATGGTGGTGGGCCTATTTTAGGTTCTGACGATCTTGAAATGTGCAAATCGTTAAACTACACTGTTGTTGTTGCGTGGGCCATTTGTGTCTTTTCCAAATTCGAAGAATTCCCACTGGAAGCTCAAAAACACATTCTTGTAAATTGACTGAATGGGTCTTGATGACGCCTTCCCTGAAGGGTAAAAGTGCAGCCTTACAATGTCTTTCTCATGCCACTGGTTGTCGGAAGGGCCTCCACTAGATGGAACCCTAAAGGGCATTGCTGTAAACATATAAATACACGTTTCCATTGATTGGTCTATGATTGTAATTAGCAACTGTGTTACATGCAAGCAATTTTTTTCACCTTGATTCCAATTGACAAGGAGTCTGTATTTTCTTAAATATAGTCCTCTGAAGGTACACTGATCATGATTGGATTATTTGACTACATTTTTTAAAGTGGATAAAAACAATTAGCAACAGGATCAATAACCTCTCGGGGAATATTTAGCTATTTTTACTCGCGCCCCTTGGTAATAATACATAGATTATAAATTAAACATCACCAGCATTTTCTTAAATATATATTTGAAGGTGTTAAAATGGAAGCAGAAATGCGCGTGAGTTTTAAAGACAGTTTCACACGGAGTTTTTAATTGCTTCTCCTCAGAAAACAAATTATATTTATTTTTATAATCATCATTATGCATCACATTTATTCATAACGGGCCATTCACAACACAGCTCCCACATGCGCAACCTTGAAAACATATTTTTTTTTGTAACCAGTTGCAAAGGCACCAATTTGTGTACCGTATTGCAATTGTGCTGTGAAAAATAACCGCGCCGCCGCCGTATATTGCACACTTTTCCGCTAATTGCCTTGTAAATGATGCCGTAACAATTAACGGTGCCCGCGCGGCTCCAATGCTGCAGCCCCTTTGACTCTCGCCCCGGCAGACATCCGTCAGTCCGTGCGTGACCCGATTTGAACCCTCACATCAAAACCACTCCTCCACCCCGATGATAATTCGCTGCAGGGACATTGTCATGTAAGTGCTCCTGCTCTTTTTGAGTGGCCCCGTCCCATTAGCTAAATTTCAGGCGTGAAATGCCCCGTGACCTTATTTTCAAAGAGTAGGCTGCGACAAAGTGTCCCTGAATAGTGCGCGTTGGTCACGAAAAAAAATGTAACGGCGACTCTGATTTTTATTTCTTTAATTTCACCAGCGTGTCGAGGGCACAGAGCCCTACTCTTGTAAGAAAAAAAAATGCTCAAATGAGCTTGTAGGCATGCGACTCGCTCTGGTTGTCACTAGCAGACAGGAAAACATGAAATAAATCACATAATGGCAGTGCGTGGCATGGTTGCGCTGAGAGTCAACGCCCGCAATCATGAGCACTCTGTTCATAATTTGCATGCCCCCCCCCCACTGCAACTCGGTAGAGAGACTGGAACTAAACACAGCTGTGTGTTTGTGTATTTTCATTGCCTGCTTTCTTTCACACGTGGATTAGCGACGGAGTGTTAATAGCGAGTCGCTGACAGATGCATTGCACTAACAGCGCAGGAGAGTTGCATTGTTACGGGGTGGTTCAATTGTTTATAAAAGCCATTGTGTGTTTTTGTCTGTCTCTGACCATCAATGTCTTACACCCTCCACTATCCCTTTGTTTTGTGTGTGTCTCGATTGAGGAAAGGTCCCTATGGGTGATGGTTCTCTATTTCACATCTCCACCAGTGGCTTTGGGCTTAAACATGAGCAACACCAGATACCATGCGGAATGTACCAACAGTGTCGCAAGCCGAAGGGTTATTCGTGCGTGCACTTCCTTCAAGGGTTGACATCACTCACATTACCGACAGCTATACCGCATCTCGATTTATCTTCATTATTGCTCTACCGCATTGAGGTTCGAAGCTGTCTGTGCGTGTCAACTTTCAATCGCGGCGCTATACGCGAGGATTTTGAGTCACTTTCCGTCCACCCCCCCCTCCCACATCCCTGCGCATCTTCCAGAGTGGTGCAGTCCGGCGAAGGGGAGGGCTTTTGCGGCTGTCAGTGCCATGTGCACGGGAGCTACTGGCAGAGAGAGAGAGAGGAGAGCGAGCGAGAGACGCGTGTGGGAGGAGCGGTGCGGAGTGGTACTGAGGTGCGTGCCTGCGTGAGTCGGAGCGAAAGCAAAGATCGTCGTCATCATCATCATCAGGCAGCGGCAGTGAAGCGACACGGAGGAGGAGGAGGGAAGTCGTGCGCTCAGCAAGCAGAGAGGATGGAGGGCGGAGTGGTGGTGCCTGTGGATTTCAGCGACGTGGTGAAACAGGGCTATGTGAGGATGAGGAGCAGAAAGCTTGGGGTAAGTAAAAAAAAAACACACCGGCAACTTTGGCCCTGTTGCTGTTATCTTGTCATTTTTTTCTTTTTTGTGGGGGGGGGGGGGGGTGGAAGGTTTTTTGGGATGATGTCATCTTAACTTGGTGGTTGAGCAATATTTAGAAAGTTAAATTGTCAATTTGTTTGGGTGTAGGGGGGTTTGGTACGGCATACGCAACAAACGTGCTGTTTGCGAGTTGTACGTGTTTAAGAATTGCCTTTGAGTAAATAAATGGTGGCTTATCAAAGCCAATAACCCCAGCATAATTAACATATCCGTTCTTTCTTTCATAGGACTGTGGCTGGATGTTAACATTGGCTTGTTTAGAAGTGAATTACTGTACATGCTGCGTACCGTATATGTTTATACAATTAATAATTATAATTGCATTGCCGTTGAGGTCAAACATTCACATGTTTTGTTTGCAGTTCGTAGTAATTGGTAATAACAATTAAAATACACTTCATCCAGAAAAGCCTCACTGAACCTGTTTCTGGATGTGTGGTGGCAAATTATATTCACGAGCATTTAGCTTGTAGGAAAGTACCTGGATAAATCGTACACACATCATCGGATAACACCGACAGCTTTGCACAGATAGATTCCAGAATCCAATAACAACTTGGTGCATGTGGGTTAAAATATGGTTAAAGGTACTTCAGATGTCTTTGCCTTTAAGCTGGCAAGTGTTCAGCTGGGCTGTGGTATTGTATTGTCTTTTTTTAAGTTCACTAACATTAAGATTGTGCGACAGATTTCTGAAAATCCAGACCCGAGTCGTAACCCTTTTGATCCCTACTTGTGAGTGGATCCCAAGTAATCCCAGATTAGTCCCCATAGGCACATTCAATTTACACGAGCAATTAATGTAAGGAATAACTCAAATGAAAAAGTACGTGATGATTTTTTTCTTCTTTTTAGAATCTGCTCATATTTTTGGTTCTTTCGGTAAAGTCACCTAGATAGAAAACAAAAAGCAAAATTAAAAGCAAAAAACCACACGATGTTTTGATCGCAACATAAGCGGTCTTTTTTTTCTCCTCTCCACCTGATGAAGACCACTTGTGTTGCGATCGAATCGTCGTGGGGTTTTTTGCTTTTAATTTTGATTATTGTTTTCTATCTACGTGACTTGACCGAAAGAACCAAGAATATGAATTACTGCAGTCACGAAAGTTTTAAGTCTAAATAGAATCAGCTCATTTACCGATGGTCGAATGGCATAATGATCGTGATGTTCCGATTGTGTCTGTCTGGCTGATGAGTTTCTTTGGACTATACATAATAATAGACAACTCCGAATATTGAAGCCACCTTTTTGCAAAATGTATTTCTCTGCAAAGTATATCGGCAGTGTGCGAGCACACGATCAAGGGTTTTTAATCGCATTTAAATTGACCGATGCAAATGCTGCTTTGCAGATGCAAGCAGCATATACATAATGCGAACATTCAAACCAGCATTACACAGAGGGCAGTATAATGATAACAATACACTGTTCAATAACCATAAAGCATTAGAAGACAACACACAAAGCCAAATATAGAAATATAATAATACTCCCTCCCTGTTGCACCGATACTCACTGCGAGGTTCTGAGAACAGCTTCTGTTAGCGAGCACCTGTTACAGCGTGCACAGCTCGTGATGGCAAGGAAGTGACCAGAATCGCATATGCCCAGCCACCTACCTACCTGTGCCTTGCCGGCACTCCTGTTGACACAGTGCACCCACGTAATCATTTAGGTCGAGTCGCCCTAGGATGACCGCTGACCGTTAAGGACTACAGATTCTGATTGACACAGATGCGCATGGATAGGGATTGAGCTTAGTGGCTGTATTTACACACACACACGCACACAGAGTACAGTGTGAATTGGAATGGGCTGCCTGTGACCGATTAAAGATTTCTGACAAAATGAAATTGACCTGGATCAATGTCCAGTGATTTAGACAGATTTCCAGAATTGAACGACTGTGTTTAAAATACAGCACAGTTTCTTTGCATGCAATACAAGTGCTGTATTACTGAACTGTAAACCATCATACTCGAGATCAGTCAATTATAATCAATCTGGCAACTTGGCCAAATCTATTTTTTATTATTAATCGTGGTTATTGATCGGGGCTAAGTGGTACAGCTGTTGAGTTTGTGGCTCGCACGTGATAGGCCGTGAGTTGAAATCCCAGACGTGGATCAAACTAAGCTGTTTTATCCCTCCAGAGTGAATCAAATGAGTGTCACTTTGCAGGTAAGACATCAGTTGTTTTTTTCTCTGACCATAGGAATGTGGAGTTCCCACCACTGGCTCATCGGGGCTCCAAACAAGAGATTATCTGCAGCTCATTATGTATGCTCATTTAAGATATGAAACCACTATTTCGTTTTTTACATCACCATGGTACTGTGGAATTCTATAAGCGTACAAATGGCCGCCGACAGCTTTGTTCTAACATGCCCCAAATATACGACATGACTACACCGAACCAGGAATGGTGAATGAATGTGCATATTTTCCAAAATACAGCTTTACAATTTTAGTAAACCTTCGCTTCCTTTTTAATACCCATGTATTTCAGGCTTTTTTTTCTCCCCAAGTACAAAAGCTACCCTGTCACATTGCTTCTAAATTGCATGTTTGGAGGGGAGGAGAACGAGCTACCATGCCTTGGGTATGGAAGTCAAGGTTCTGACATTCTCACGGCCATAAAATGGGTGGCTACAGATGCACGTTTAGCAGCTAATGCACCTGGAGAGGTTTTATGGGCCTTTGTGGGCTTTGGGACACAATTGGACTTTGTTTTTCTGGTTGAAGAAAAAGAAACACGATAAACCCTCACAACGATCAAGCAATCAAACTAAAGGAGTCCTCAACTTTACCGTGACACTTTTAGAGGGACCTCAACTCGTGCTAAAAAAAAAAACACAGTCACGGCACATTTTGCTCGGTATGATGTCCCACACGTTGTTCGCTTCACGCGCTCGGAGATTCTCCAGAAACGTTGAACGCGTTCAACCTGACAACAACGCGTCTTGAGAGCGAGAGAGCTTTGCAGTGCAACCGACAAAAAAACCCGACACGATACTACGGTACAAAATGAACCTAACGTTTCATTGGATCAATTTACACTTCACGAGAGTGATGTTTGATGAGCGTGCGGCTGCGGCTGCATGTTCGGTGGGTCGTGGGCCCCCATCTGGACGTTCTAAATCTCTCCGCTACGCGCGACAAAATCTGCATAGCGAGCGGAGACGCTGGATGGAGTCGGGTCTGGAGGCCGATGATGGGTGCGAGCCTCTCGTGTTACCCCGAGCTCTTCGCCAATTAATGCAACGCCCAAGCAGAGAACACAAGCACTGTATGTGTGGCCAGGAGACATCTGAAAGGCTGTGCAGTTTGTTCAGCTGCTTTGCTACGTCGCCCATTCTGGATTGTGTTTTTTTTTTTAATGACTGAGGTTTATATTTATGTACATGACTGCAGTGCGAATTACAGACGTGTGTTTGTTCTGCTCTGCATACCCTAGGTATACAGAGTTTGTCTGATATTGTACGCTCTATATTATAGCGTACAGTGTATGTTGTTATATTTACTGTAGTGTATCTAAAACACAGTAAAATTCCTCTTATCTGCAACATTTATTATTCGCGACCCAATATATGTCTGTTATAACGTCTGTTATCTACAGATGGATTCTTACAACTCACTTTGTTTAAAGGGGTAAGATGAGTCAACTGGAAGTGGTCACTTTAATTCGTCGCATTATCCACGTTTTTTGTTACAGATTATAAGGCCCGTGTATTATTTCTGAGATAATAGTTGTTATTGTTTTTTGGGATCAACATAATTATAAGTCCCCTCATACACACCCCTTTGTTTCTCCACCATCGCGAATGCGTTTTGCTGTAAACACTTCTGCACATTGTACAAATAAAGTGCAATGCTACGCGAACTTTTATCACATTCGTGTGACGAGCACTGCTCGAAGAGGGGAAACACACACACAAGGTTTTGTTTTTGCCAATGCCCCCCACCCCTCCCTTCTTCGTGGTACAGAGAGGAACAAATGCCGATGAATATTGTATAACCTTTCTTTATATGGGCAGGGTGTAAATGTTGTAGACACGTGCTCGTTGTAGCGTGCCATATATACTCTGCCGTATAAAGCACAACGCTGCGTCTCCTGCACGGCATATAAACCAGCATAACATGCCAAATCACGCGGGCCAAGTTGTTCTGAAACCCTAACTGTTCGCCACTTGCTCAATGCTACGAAGAAGAAGAAAAAAAAATCACCCCACAACATTTCTTTGCGAGAACGGAGCGGATGTTTGCTTGTCCATTGCCCAATGCGCGCCAGGGGCTGCCGGGAGAATTGCTGGGACCCTCTGTGTGGTCCCCATCAGCCTTTAAGAGGCTCCATTATGTGTGGATTTTGCGCACGCGACATCAACCGGAATACTCTGCATGTCGCCCGTTGCGTCGCCTTATTCGTGGCTTAACGTGGCCGCACCGAGAAGATTTTGTGCTGCGTTGACGTGTGAACACGCGCGCGTTACCCCCCCCCCCGCTCGGCCACCAGTGTTTTGTCGTAAACGCACGTGCTCTCCGACGCTTTGGTCCAAGGATGAATTAACACCACGCGACGCTTTGTCTTTGCACATCATCATCCAGTGGCTTCCATCCTCTGGTGAATTCAAGGGGGGTGGTGGGGGGGAGGTGTTCGCAATTCACGAGCGCCTACCTGTTGATTGACTGACATGAAACAATAGACACCGATGCAGCCACGAGCTCGCAGAGGGTGGCTTTATTTTTTACATTTTGCTAACCTGTGTCATAATAATTGTTCATGATAAAGAGATGTATATACGGTAAACGGTAATGTACACTGCTTTGTCAACGTACTGTTGGATGAAGGTATCTCGCCGTGCAGTGTAGATGCGGGTTCGGCAAGCGTGAGACCAAGGTGTATTCAGATTTC